GGGGTGAGCAACTCAGTGCATCCCATGGGGAGCATACAGAGGGGCAAGGACTAAGCAAGCCACTACTGCCACCCGACCCAACCACGCGAGACAGCCACAGGGTCAAGCAAGACAGTACAGGGACGCAAGGGGCCGATGGCATGCCTCCACCTAACACTGCATCCTTGCCCAGGAAACCACACAGGGAACACAGAGGGCCTCTCAGGAGTTAAGCTGCAGGGGCACCCCAAACAGGACTGCTGCTCGCAGAGGACACAAAGCGGGACACAACCCAAATGCCCAGATTCACGGTAGGGCAGCTTCTGAAACAGTTTCTCTAGCAGCAAATAAAAGATGACTATATTTTTAAAAGTACTACAAGACTGGGGCAGGGGAGATGGCTCAGTGGAATAAGCGCTTCCCTGGCAAGTGCAAGGGCCTGAGTTCAATCCCTGGTTCTGCCAAAAAAAAAAAAAAAAGTACTACAAGACCACTGACAGTGATGTTTTCCAGGAAAATTAATGCCACGGGAAAGGACACGCTGTACTAGTAAAAGTGGACAGATACACAGGTCAGCAGGCTGCCTACCTCAACCCCCCATACCAAGGGAACACCAGCGAGGCCCCTAAAGGGACAAGAGAGCTTGCTCGGCCTCCTGGCTACTGCACAGAGGTTCTCAGGGGTCTCCATCCTGCTCTCAGCCCCCATCTGGCAGAGCTGCAAGGAAACCTGACCCAGCGGCTGGGACACACGGAACTCATAGTCTGGTGTGACAACAGCCTGCGTGCACCTGGGCACAGCTGAGCCTGCTGATCCTTAGTATCCCCTCTGTCAGACAAAGGCAGTAATTGTGTGCAGCTCTGAGGGATGCGGTGAGAAGTGAGGGAGGTGGAGATGAGGTGACGCTGCACCCCACACACAAGGCCCAGGGCCTTGCTGATGCTAACAAGCAGCCTAACACTGACCTACATCCGCAACCTTTATGTCAATTTTATTTTGAGGCAGTATCTCATGAGTTGCCAGGCTGGCCTAAACTTGTAATGCTCCTGCCTCAGCCTCCTCGGCAGCTGTGTGCCACTGTACCCAACTAGACGCTTTTCTACTATCTCAGCTTTTGCTCAATGGTAAGTGTTAAATGTTTTTAACTTTAAGAACAGCAAGTGACGACACTTGTCCGTATTCCCAAAACTCGGAAGCCTAAAGCAGGAGGCTTGCTTGAGCCAAGAGTTCTGGACCAGCCTGGATCATACACCAGAACACAGACTGGACTTGTCCAGCACCAGCTCCAGAGAAGGAGACACAGCAGCCCCAAGCACCCCAGCGGGGCTCCCTCGGGGGCAGGCCCGGGCCCAGGCCCTTCCTGGCTCTCAAGGCTGACACCACACCAGACAGGCAGCTGCCTGCGGGTGCAGAGCCTGCCCTGGTCTATGAGGCGCCCTCTGCAGCACTCGCCTGTTCCCTTCCAGGCCAAGGCCAAGTCCCCACCAGATTAGGGTGCAGGCTCTCCCAGCTCCAGGTGGGCAGTCACCCCAGGTCTCAGGGGCAGCTTAATCAAGTCCAGGGCTACCCTGGCAGCACAGCCTACCCCAGTCAAGACCTCCAGGAAAGGCCACACCTGTCCACCTGTGCTTCTGGAACCCCACTGTGCTCCTTCCAGGGCCACACCCCGACCTCCACCCCCACAGCTCTGCTCTGCACCCGGAGCCTGGCCCTACACTGCAACCCGCAGATAGCAGAAGGGAGTATCACCGTGCATGGAAGCACTTTCCTTCTGTGCCAAGAACTAGCGCAGTCAAGAACAGTTAAAATGAAAACAAGACTTCTCTGCCTCCCAAAAAAGCAGCCATGTTGGCCACACTAAGTGAAACAAAATCTCACTGAAAATAACTGCAAATGCAATGCTGCGTACTAAAGATCAGACATAACCTGCCAGATAGGTGTTATGCTTGAGTTCTGGCTGACGTAATGGAGACAGAGCTTTCTTTCAAGCTTGGAAGGCTCAAGCCTAGAGAAGTCTGAATGACTCCTGATAGAACTGGCACACAAGGAAATTCATGTCTTACTAACATGATGGACACTTTATGGAGGACATAAATGAATAACTGGAAGAAAGAGTGTGCTTTAGTGCTGTATTCAACAGTCCGATCTAGGTCACTACAGAAAAAGGCCAAGCAGGCCAAGCTGGTGCTCTGAACTCAGAAAGGCTGTGGGGCTGGTGAGAGATGAATGGCAGCCCAGGGGGCGGGCGGGGCGGCCAATGACTCAGCGGGCAAGCAGCCTGGACACCGAGGAGCCCCTCTCTAATGGGGAGGCGCGCACACAGCAGCGAGATAGGCTGCAAAGTGGCAAGGACCCAGGGAAGTGGGGATCGGCTGGGAAAGGACCAAGGCGAGGACAGACAGGTGCCAGGACCAAGTCCTGACGGGAAATCCGGGCTCACGAGGATTAAGAAAGACGTTCTGGTAAGATGATGGCACACCGTCGTCCCTAAATCTGCCAGGCACTGCAGTAAGACACAGGTAATGAAGTCTGCCCAGGGCTTGACTTACCAGCTGTACCTTTTCATGCAAGCATGGTGAACTGTCTGCCAATTACCTGGAAACTGTTTCAACAGGCCTCCAAGGTGCACTAGCCACTGGACAGCAACAAGCAGGTGGCCCTGAGCAGAGTGGGGCCCTTGGCAGGGTGGGAAGAGGGCTGGGGCTCCAGGCCCAGCATCCCCACGCAGGAGTCCCATGAGCACAGGCCCACACGCTCCAAACGGCAGCCTCCCGTCTGGCCGCCTGTGATCCTCGTGATTCCTGAACCGCTCCTTGTCTATTCATTGCCCCAAGCCAGCTCCAAACGGCCTCATTAGACACGAGCCTGCTGTGACCACAGGGTGTGCAGAGAAGAAAGGGCTGGTGGCAGGGAGAGAGCAGGCAGAGGAGGCAGCGGCAGGGGAGCTGCGGCTTCCACCAGACCCCAAAACGGCACAGGGAGTTCCAAGCAGCTACAGTTCGGAGCGCAGCTAATTCACTGCAGCTGAATTTCAAAGCGCCACCCACACTGTCACTCCAACCCTGCAGCAGGATTATCACAAAGGAGCACAGGCCTGATTAACCTCCCCAACGCATGCTTCTGATCATCCCACTCCCCTGCCCAAAGCCTCCTGGCTCCTGACTACCCACAGAACAAAGCCAGTGTCAAAGACATTCAGGCCCTGCCTGCTATCTGTGCCAGTTCCTTGCTTTTACTGACAAGGAAACTGAGGCAAGCGGTGTGAGATGGCCTGAGGCTGGCAGAGTCGTGGCTCGGCCAGGACCTCGGCTCCCCCTTCCACTTCCAGGCTTCTCTCCCAGGGCAAGGCCACTGCAACCACAAGCATGGCCTGGCAGCCAGCCCTCCCAAGACATCACCCGCAAGTCACTGCCACCACTTCTTCAGAGCCACCACTCCTGCAAGACAGCAGGGGAAGACAGGCGTGTCCAAGCCACTCCAAGTTGGCCCCATGGCACCAGGCCTGGGGTGTTGGCCGAGCCCCTCTTTCTCCAAGCCACCCTGAGTGGTCTGGGCCCTCCGTGCACCTCTAAGAGCCAAGTGGCACTTGGCTCACATGCTCACCAGGGCTGCCATGCTGGGGCTGCCAACCACTACTTCGTGCTCCCTCCACCCCACAGGAGCCCAGCAGTACGTGGTAATGGCCCCTGTCCCACACCAGAGTTGAGGGACTGGAATCTGATACCGAGCCTGGCCTCCACCAAGGTTGCATATAGTACAAATCATAGTGTGAGGACACCCGCAGCTCAGTCCCATACCTGGATTGCGGGTTTGGGGTGAAAGCCTCTCTTCCTGAAAAGCTGGCCCTCAGGACCATGGGACAACCAAGGGGCACTCGGAGAACAGAGCACTGAGTGAGCGAGCAGCCCATGGTGCCCATCACCTGAGACGCTGCCAGACACAGCAGTCTCACCCAAAACACACCGAGCTCACCGAGGAGGGAAACTAGCCAAAGGGCTGTGATGCGTCTCCAAGAACCCCTACACTCGTGTTAAAGGCTCAGCCCCAGTACAGGAACATTCGCGGCCAGGCTGTGCACACCACCTAGATCTCAGCAGTACTGACCTCATCATGTGATTGAGCCACTGATGGGTTACAGTGTGATGGGCCACTGGGTGGAGATGGACCACCACTGGGCAGCCCCCAGTAGAAGGTAGTGGGGTCATGGGGCATCCCTGACTCCTCTCTTTCTCCCTCTGTTTCTGGCCACCAGGACATAAGCAGTTCTCCGCTCCACCCTTCTCATCCACTCCGCCCTTCAACCATGGTATTTTTGCCTTGAGAGCCAGCTCACCATGGACTAAAGCCTCTGAAAGTGTTAGCCAAAAGAATCTTCCCTCCTTTAAGTTGTTTTCCATGGGCATTCTACTGTAGCAACAGAAAGTTAACATAAAATATAAGGAGAATGCATGGTGGCCACAAAGCAAAGAAGGGACAGGCCACATGGGAAATAAAGGATGTTATCAAACTGAAGGGTGCCATAAAAGAGCTGCTTCAAAGAAATCGCTCCACTCCAAAGGCTTACTACTTTGCTGTGGAAAAGGCTGTGCACATAGTCACCACAATGCCCTAGGCTCACGGCCTGTGCAGCCCTACCCAGCACAGCCCTGCCCAGTGCAGGCACCCTTGCTGCCAGCGTTCCCAGACACAGGAGTGCTGCTTGCTCGGGAGGCCTGGGAGACTCCAGCTCGCACACAAAAGACAGTGGCCTGCCAAGGTGGCACCTACAGCATGATCCGTCCAAGGCAGCTCTCAGCCTTGTTCTTCTGAATTCTGAAAGGAGTTACTAGGGGGCGCCTCATACCCACTGCAAAGCTAAGTGAACAAGCTGTGTGCCAAGCCCTCCCAGAAGGCCGGCCCTCTCGACCCACCTAAGTCCCGAGTCCTGCACAGGAACCAGCCTGCTGGGTAGGAACCCCCATCAGCACAGCTTCTACTCCCATTCAAACACTTGTGCTGAGGGAGTGCGGATCAGCACCTACCTGGGTGGTCACCGGACGAGGAAACTCCGCTCCAGGCTCGGCCACAGACGGGTGCTCCAGCAGTGCACACACAGCAGGCCAGCTCTCGGGACGCTCAGTCACCCGCTCCTCGCAGAGGAAGGACGCGCAGCACAGGACCACGTCCTGTTTCCAAGGCATGTCACCCTGTCGCTCACACGCACCCCATCCTGGTGGTGCGAGCTATAAGCATCTCAGCCACCCACGGTAGCCACATGAGGGCCTAAGTCAAACGTGGCATGTCTGTTCCACACTTTGCAGGTGGGAATGGGTTCTTAACTGAAGCATGTACAACCATGAAGCGCATCTGAGAAATGGGTGGCTGGAGGGCAGCAGGAAGGGTGCGCTCCATGTGACTGCAAAATTAAGTCCCCAATTAAGTAATTACTCTGGGGGGGAGAACCTCCTCCGATGGCTGACCTTGTGCCTACACCTCCACACTGAGGACACTGAGGTGCAGGTCACGCCCAGCTGCAGCTCACAGTAGGGCAGGTGGGCACCACCTTGATTTTCTAAACGGGTATTGCACTTGAGCACTGGGAGACTGCAAGCTGCTCTTGGACCCGCACACCCATCCAGGACAGCCCCACATGCTGGGCGCCTCCCGTCCGTCCTCTGGTGTGCTCAGATTAGGTGCACAGATGCTGACAGGTTCCATGCATATTTTTAAAAGAATAAGGAGGAGTGGAGATATATCTGCACACACTCAGGCTGATTTACTTGAATATGTGCAGAGCATCTCCGAGAGGGTTCAAGAAATTGCACGGCCACTGCTAGACGACAGAGGAGAAAACCTGTCTCTGCATAAACCCTGAGGGGTGACGTCAAGCATTTAAACTTTGTGTTACGATGCAGCTTTCACAATTAAAAACTTAGTAAATAAAAATAAGCCCTGCCCATGCCCAGACCTGAGACAGCCCTGAGAACCCCAGCCTCCCTCCTGCTCACTCAGCCCCACCCCCGAGGTCAATGAAGAACAGCGCACGCCAGGGCTGGAGTGCGGGCTCCAGATTTTGAACACTGCTAAGCATGTCTGGACCTTGATTAAGCAAATAAATGTTGATTTAGACAGATATACAATTTCAATAACAATTTTGAGAAGATCATTTTCAAAACATTATACAGTCTCTACAAAAGACAGTTATGTAGACAGCAGCAACATGGGAAAGGCTGATGACATGGTACCAACCAGGAAGAAAGGAGAACAGATCACATCAGCATTCCCGTCGCCTCTGTGGAAACTCAGGACTGAAGAGCCTCGCAAGCATGTGCAGCAGCACAGGCCACCCATGTGCAGGACCCTCCCCAGGAACACGCCCTAAGCGCCCTCACCCACCTGACAGGTGACCCCACTCGGCACAGAGCAGACTCTAAGCAACAGGTACACCGCCCAGGTCCCCTTGCTGGTAACGGGCACAGCATGGTCAGGGCCTGAGTGGGCCGTACCCCAAAGCCCACAGTCTGTTTCCCACACTGCCCTGCCACGCAAGATGCTGAGAACGAGGGTGCTGGGTGACCGGAAGGGAAGACTTCCTGCTTTCCCTGTGTTATTTTTACTTCTAAAACCTAAAGCAACTACGAGCTTATCTCTTGGATTAACAGACAGGCTTTCTAACTGCTTCGACTGAATTGTGCTCCTTGAAATTCAAAGAAGCCCTAGACCTGTGTGTGACTGTAGGATGTGGAGATAAGGTCTGAGAAGTAATTGAGGTTAAGTGAGGTCATGCTGGCGGGTCCCCCATCTGACAGAATTAGTGCCCTTCTCAGAGACGTCACAAAGCTCTGTGTGTGTGTGTGTGTGTGTGTGTGTGTGTGTCCACCCCATGTGAGTAAGAAAAGCCATGGGGGGAGCACATGGACGAAGTGATACCCACAAACCAGGAGAGGGGTCCTCACCAGCTCCTGGGCCTTGGACTTTCACCTTCCAAAACTAAACACCCAGTCTGTGGCACTCTGCCACTATGACCCAAGAAGACTGGCACACTAACCCACTTTTAGAATATTTTACCCTAAAATAAAATTACGTTATGTTTTCAAGCATTTGGTGCACACCTGAACTGCTTCTGTCGTGACCAACATGAACACAGCCTGGGACTTCACCAGGAAGCTCCAGACTCCGCATGACCATCAAGCCCGGCTCAGCACCAACACCAAAGCCGCACTGGGGCCCATCATACCCCACACATAAATTCGGCAAGGGTCATGCTGCCCACCTTCCCCTCAAAACCCAGGTTCTTCTTCTCATTCACTGCGTCGAAGCAGAGCTCCCTGGACTGCGTCCAGTGGCAACAGCAAATGAGTAATTCTCAGCCTCCACCCACTGCTGTGTTCTTACTTATTCTTCCCCAACCTAACCCTGGGGCCAGTGCCTACAACAGAATGTGTCAAGTCCTAGTAACACACGCAAAGCAGCGGGTAGCATAAGCAGCCCTGTGTGAAGCCAGCATCACTACACTTGTCAGCTGCAACCCTCCAGCAGCTACACCTCGGCTTCCAGGAGCTTTGGTTTCCTCCCCTGCAACTGAGGGTCACGGGGCTCCTGCCACCCTCCTCACTGTGTGGGGCCCATGCTGAGAAAACGAGGTGATCCCAAGAAGCTCTGACAGACACCCTGAGTCAGCACACCTGCGGAAGGCTGGAAGGTGCAGTGGCCAGGTGGGGCCAGGCCGTCACAGGGCAAAACGCTTCATCATGCACGCACACACACACACATGCATGCACACACCCATGTGTACACACACACACTCATACATGGATGCACACATGGCAAATATGCTCTTCCTGTTACTATTCAGGAACACAAAACCCACAGTGACTCAGAGGATGCCCCCAAGTGAGACCGCAGAGGTCTCAGCAGACACAGCCAGAACACAACACCATTTGCCCCGACAGAAGCCCTCTGGAAGGCCACAGAGGATCCATGAACCCCAACGGCCCTATAGGAGAGGCAATCGGTGAGCTGCCGGCAAGCTGTGTGACAGGGTCACGGCGCCGGTCCCTCACCAGGCTCCTGAGAGGGAAGCACTGAGCAGAACAGTCCGAGCCGGTCACGGTTGTGGGGAAGCAGGCTGCCACTCGTTCCTGCAGCACACTGCCAACAACCAGGTATTGTTCTTTATACCTGCCTTCCATGGGGCAGGGGTCGGCCAGACCCAGCTCAGCCCTTGGTGTACCATCAGGCAGCTGCCAGGCCTAGTAGGCACCCGGCCAGGCCCCCCTACGCATCGCTGAGTCTTTCCTCTTAGCAGGGAATGGTACAGCTTCCTACAGGTCCTCGGGTAGGCAAAATCCATGATCAGCCCAGCAGCCTCCTCCTCCTCCTCCTCCTCCATCTCTTGCTTCTCATTACTAACATATTCAACCTCCCTTCCTACTTGGGAGGTCTCAGAGCCCCAAGCTCAGTAGCACGAGGATGGGTCGCAACAAGGAATCTGGCCGGCCCTGGTCCTGGTGCACTCTCTGTGCAGAGAGCAACCTAAGAGCTGGGCAGAACAATGCCCGCACCAATGCCCACTCCTCTGGCTCCTGAGCAAAGAGTAGGCGAGACGAGGACCAGGGGCAGGAGCAGCAGTAGGTACCGTGGGCCTGGTGGGTCCTTCTCGCTGCTCTCTTCCCCGGCACCCAGGGCACTAGACATGGCATGGGAACAGCTCACTAGAAATTCCACACTGCCGCAGGCCCCAGGCCCCGACCGTCCCAGCAGGGGTAACCATTCTTCATCAGTAACACAGACTGATGGGACTACCAGACTGCTGAGGGTAGAGTGAAAGGCAGGAAGCCCTCAGAATAGGGCCTGCCACAGAGTGAACACTTAATGCAGTCTGTGTCATGGTCATCACCATAGCTGTGATCACCACCAGATCACCAGCATCAACATCACCACCACCATCACCACCATCACCTAATAGATACCATTATCATCACCACCAACAACACTGTCATCAGCACCAGCAGCACTAACCTCACCACCATTTCCTCTTCATCATCATTAGCACCAGCACCCCCATCGCTACCACCACTACCACCTTCACCACCACCACCACCACCACCATCACCACCACCACCACCACCACCACCACCACCACCATCACCACCA